TCGCTGATTGTTTCAGTGCTAGCTTACAGAGCTATATTGCGTCGTTGCCTCTTGGGGAACCGATGGTTTGCGAAATCGTCTGGTGGATCTTGAACAAAGTTGCTGAGAGCGCTTCATGTACTTTCTCTGATCCATGCATTGATCAGACGCGGAACGATGTCTTGGATGTTGTTGGCCATAAGGGAAGAGTTTCTAACGGAAAGAGCTTCAGCCGGTTGTGGATATTTTGTCATCACATCTTCAACAGCTGGAAACGACGCAACATTTTAACAGTTGCCAAAAGTTTAGACCTCACTGGTTTCTGCTTGCCCGGTAAGCCAGGGATAGTCGCCGTCGAAGGTCTTAAAGAAAACTGTTGCATCTTCTGGCGGACGGTAAAAACATGGACTTGGAAAAAGATCATGATCAAAAATTCGGAGACCATGACCATTGAAAATGAGGCGGATATCGATGGCCTACGAAAGTTCATTGATTTTCAAGAAATTTCCTTCGTTTCAACTGTTGGACTTGGACGAACCGTTCATATGGATATGGGCGATTTCAGGACGTACCTGGCAGACCATCACTGTGAAGAAGCGTTTAAAATGTACTTTGGTGTCGCGTCAGAAAGTTAACGATGCAAGGCACAGTTTATTCTTGTTTTTTCCGAATTAACCGGGGGCATCACATACTTTTTAGGTGTGATGTCAGAAAACTCGATTTGTCAGGTATAGAACCTTTGATGGATCTTGGGTTTGTGTTTTTGATAGTCAGTTGCTGTTTAATCCAGCAGAAACTGTCTGTTGTTTATGCGTTTATCGCAAGTAGAAAGGTGTCGACTGTTTTTCACCAAGCGGGGCGATTCCAACATAGCGGCGGGCTTGAATTCTGATTTTTATGCATAGGGTAACCATATAATGTTAATAAAGCTATCACACTAATATCGGTTTTCTTATAACAACTAATTAATTACGACTACTAATTAGCCCTCTGCAAACAGGAAAAGGAAAGTTTACAGTTGCTGGGATGTCGATCTCGATTACAGTTTCATGATTTGGCAGCAATTTTTATTAAGCAAATAGTGCTGTGCTGAGCTGTCCTACGCCATTTGTCAGAAGTGCCTTATTTTAAATACTGCATTTAAGGGTGTGTGACAAGCATAGCTGACTGCCTGTCCGCCCGCCTGTCTACTTACCCTC